GGGGGGGGGGGTTGTCTTCTACTGGGAGTCTCTTGAGCCTATATTGACACTGCATAGAAGCAGGACTTTGCCTGCCGTGGCCCCCCTGCTTCCCCAGCGGCATTTTCGGGTGTGAGGTCTGTGTTGTGTTAGGGTTGCTGGTTGACTTATGTAGAGTTTGGAGGATGGTTTGGATGGGGCTGATCCTGCCTCAGATGGACTAGATGTGATCTCCAGGGGTCCCTTCCAGCCCCACGGCTCCTGAGCTCTCTCTGCCGAGGCTGGGAGGGCAAGTGCCTGCTCCAAGCTCCTGTGCTCACCGGCAGCTGTCCTGTCCCCCCTGGCTCGGTGTGCTACCAGCCAAGCTGCCCAGGCTCCCGGGCCTCATTGAAGCCTCAACCATAGCATGATCCTGACCCCTGTCCTATGGGGCAGCTCTGCCGGCCCCAGTGCAGCAGGACAGGGTCCAGCTGTGCAGAACCCGAAATGCCCCTGCCTCCGTCTCCCTGCTTTCCAGTGGTCTGGTTTAGGATGATACCCCAATAACCCCCCACCCCCACTCCCCAGGGCTGGACTTTCTGTGGGGAGGGCACTGCTCTGCATGAATAGATCTGGGGTTTTGCAAAAATCTAGTTGGTCTCATAAAAGATTTATATCACCTCTACCAGTCCTTTAGGGGTTTCCACTAGCTAGGTGCCTCGGTGGACTTGATCCCAGCCTTAGCAGGGACCCCTCTAGGGAGCTGCAGTGGCAGGGCAGGAGGTGTGTGTGTGGGGGGGGCAGCATCCAGCCAGCATCCCCTGGGCTTGCTGCAAGGTGCATGGAGGTAAAACCCCAGCCGAGTAACTCCTATGCAACCGAATTGGCAGCTGCCCCCTGGGACCCCTTCTGTGGGGCTGAGGCTTGCAGAGGAGGGGGGCAGCGCCCCCAGGTCCCCTCGGCTCCAGAGCTGGGCTGTGGTTCGCTGGCAGGCGGCTGCGGAGGGAGGAGGGAGGGATGGATGGAGGGAGGGAGAGGAGGAGGAGGGAGCATTGCAGAGGCAGCCGGGCTGGCCAAGGAGCTCCAGCTCCCCCCCAAGTTGGCTTCGCTCCGCAGCTGGGAGCAGAGTCTGGAGCCCCCTTCCCCGGTGCATGGAGCAGGGCACTGCCGGAGCCCCTGGGCTGCAGCAATTTGCCTAGTAGGAGAGGTAAGGGCAGCTCTCTGCTTAGCCGCAGCATTGAACTTGGCCCCTATTCAGGGACCCGCAGGGGGGGAACCTGCTTCTACCTGCTCTTGGGAGGCTGCAAAACCTGCAAGGGTTGGGGTGGGGGTGTGCATGCTCTCTGCGCTCCCCTGCCTTGCTTTAGGGAGAGAGGCATGCCAGTGCCAGTCCCCCCCGCCCCCTTCCCACCCCAGCCTTTGCCCGATGTCTGTGCCAGGCCACGATTAACTCTGCTGTCTGGTGCCCCAGGTCCTTGGCTGGGTTCAGGATGGATCCGCTCTTCCCCGCTCACCTTTTCGAAGACCCCGACTTGCGGAAGCTGCTGAACGAATCCTCCATGCTGAACCTGAGCTTCCCCCCCAGCTACTGGTTTAACAACGGCACAGGGGACAGCTTTCTGCCCCTGGGCATGAAGATCACCATTGTGGTCGTCTACTCCATCGTGTGCATAGTGGGGCTGGTGGGCAACTGTTCGGTCATGTATGTGATTGTCAGGTAGGCGATGCTAACATCTTCCCCAGGAGCTGCTGTTCCCCCCGGGGAAGAAGGGGCCCAGGGGTCCTTGCACAGCTGGTGGGAGCAAGCCGGAGCCCTGGGTGGTGCAGATGCTGCCTGGGATTGTTGCTCCCTTCCAAGTTTTATAGGCTTGGGACTTTGGGGAAAGAGGGTCCCTCCCCCCCCCCCCAAGCCCCTTCCCAGAGATGGTGAAGGCTTGTGTCCACTAATCAGCAGCCCTCTGGTGCCTCCTAAAGGAA